AAAATATTCTTTCGTTTTCTCTTAACTCAGAGAGATAGAACAATCATTTTTCGAATGCATTTTGCACTTATATTCATTACATAAATCTATGCATACCTATATTAAAAAATTAAGTTTTTTTTTGTCATCATTAAAAGACAAAAATTACTTTTTTTTTTTTCTTTGAACTATATTTTGTCATGACTTAAAATTCATTCTAGTCGACTGGTAAAGAATTCAGAATTTTTGGACATCAAATTCTTTTCTTTTTTACGGTTACAAAAAGAAAAATAAACATTACAAAAATTTAAATCATTCATATTTTCTAAATTGAACAAAAAATGAATAGAACATAATGGTATCTAATACAATAAATGAATAAATATAAAAATAAAAACTTGACTCACGATGAAAACTATCTTTATCTTCATTCATACTTTCATCTTGTTGATCATTAATAATCATCATTGATGGAAAATTATTATTTTTACAATCCATCATATCTAATGATGTAGATGAAGATATTTTATTTGTATTATCTTCATTAAATTCTTGATGATTATGATTGAATCCAAATGATGAAGAAGGAAAGATTGATAGAGAATTATTTGTAATGTTCATCGTTTACTTTTTTTGAAATGTACAAAAAGAAATGAAGTGTGTGTGTGTGTGACTTATTCAGGATGTTGTGACTAACAGTAAAGAGATATTTATTTAGAACAGAATGGAGAGAAAAAAAAATATGTTTGAACTTTTTTTTATTTCAAAGATACTTGCTATTGGTGTTAGAAGTCATTAGAAAAGTCAATAGAAGAAAAAAAAAAAGCAAATAGAATCTATCGACTATACAAACTGTGTTTATACTTGTCGAAAAAGATGAAAGACACTTGGAATAATTGTTCAGGTGTATTAACTTGATATAGATAGTAAAAATTATTTGACTCTCGATGGAAAATATTTTCAAATGAATTATATAATTAAGAACTAAAGAAGAAAAAAAATTAAGTGAATATTTCATAATATTAATGTTCTGTATTATTGTTCAAAAAATTAAATTTTAATTTCAAATATATAAATATCATTTGAGATCTAAAAATAAATTTATTTTTATTATTGTTATAAAAATAGTTTTCTATATTAAATATCGTATCGATTCATATCTAAACACTATAATGATGAATAATAGAGATAACATATTTTAGTTGATTGTGTTAATATAAATATTTTATACGATTGTGTCCTTGTCAAAAGTCGATGATAGGCATGAAAATATATAAGATACTCTAAAATCAATAGGAGCGTCGCAAAACGCCCAATGATAAAATCGATAAAAAAAAAACGAAAAAATGTCTTTCAATAAATAATTATTTATGAAATAGGTTTTTCTTTCTTAACGTTTTGCAACATAATTTTGATTTTCTCTCACGTGAGAAAAGAAAGAAAATATAGGTTTGAAATAAATGATATGGTTATTATTGACAATATAGTTGAATCAAAGTTTTGTTATTTATTTTGAGACATAAATACGAATACGATCATTTTTTGTTTTTGTCTTATTATAATTCAAATGGAATTGTCAATGCCATTATCAACAACAGTGAACATTCCGTCATCAATGACAGAATCAAATTTTGAAAATCTTCAAAGAACTAATATTTTTTGTTGTCCTCGATGTTTGATTCATTTAAGCAATTTTTTCATATTTGTTATGACTTTAAGTGTATTTATTATTTTACCAATGATTGAAATTGTTATTGGTATTGTCTATCAAAATGAATGTTCAATGAATCATTATATTCCGATTTATCTTATTGTTACTGGTATTATCTCAATTATTATGTTGATTTTTGCTATGTTTGGAGTAAAATATTATATAGAATAAGTTTGTCTAGTTTTTTTCTATGATTTTTTTCTAGTGGACTTTTGTATATCCATTGGTTAACAATCTTACACTAAAGAACATAAAAATCGTGTTCTATGATGCAGGAATGTTTTCTAAAGTAATGTTGACTATTGCAATACTTTTCTTATTATTTGCTTTAGCTTGGTTCATTGCTGTAAGTTTATTTGATTAAATATTCATAATTAATACTCTCATTTAAACAGGGTAATGTATGGGTGTTTAGCGCCAGTCTGAATGTTCAATATATTGATCCAATTGAATTTCCTAATACCTATTGCAATCGTAATGTATATTTATTTGGATTCTGGTCAATTATTATTAAATATATTTTTACTTTTGTTATCTGTTGTCGACTGAACTGTTATATATGTAATTCTATTCAAAATACTATTGATCAAGCACAATTGGATATCAACATTTCAATTAATTAATTTATATGTAAGACGATGGAAAACAGTTTAATAACAACATTTTTTTTTCTGTAATGTTACGCACCTAACTCTCAAACCCCGATAATGAATTTAATAGCATGAACTATGATGGTAAAGTTTCTAAAAAAATCAGATATGATAGTTTTCAGGTCCCAAAATACTATTTTTTTTGATAATGGCATTTTAAAGAGCACAAAATTCTCAACAAAATTTAATCGATTTTTTGATAAATTTCTAGTTTTTTGATACTTTTTAATTAGCTATTAAAGCCTTTCCACTTCTCGAAAAAAAGTCAATTTTTGTCAAAAATATCGAAATTAAGATAAATGCATGAAAAGATAACCCATCTTCTGATCTTTCAAAAACAGCATGGTTTTTTTTCTGGCATCTCATTTTGAAAAATATGTTTTTTGTTTTTTCTCAGTGGATCTACATTCTATTTATTTGAATTTTTTTTTGTTTGAAAGAGCATGTCAAGATGCAGAGCACTACAGAGTCCTTTTTTTAAATTAAGCTTTGATTTTATTATATATGCAAACCAATGTGCGAACGGATACCCATTTTTGGCTCGTTTTTAGAATATTTTTTGAGGCGTTGAACTTGTCACTCATTTTTTTTCGCATAAAAAGTAAGAATATATAAAATTAGCCTGGACAGAGAAATTTGAGTTGCTAAATGAGCCATTTTTTATCCTTGTTTGGTGAATATCTCCTTCAAATGTCATGCTACAAGCCTGAAAATTTTTACCACAGCTTCTCCACTTCAGTTCTTACATATCCTGAAAATTTCATGCACCCAGCCTGAGATCGATTTTTATAGGGGAGGGGACCTTAAAATCAATATTTGAATTTGAGCTAGATGCTTAACATTATAGAAAAAGAATACGTTGTTGTTAAACTTTTTTCAACCACCTAATATATATATCTGTATGTATATTATCAGAAAACGAATCTTTAGAATGATGATTAAAAATGTATTATTAATCTGAACAATAGTGGTAATATTGAACATATTTCAATATTTTATTTAACAATGAAAGAAAACAAGAAATAATAATTAAAAATGAACTTTTTTTTTCTTTTTTTTCGGTGGTTTTCTTATATCATCATCATCATCATCGTCACTGTCACTATCACTTTCATCACTAGATCTTTGTTGTTCATCATCAAATTCTGTTTGTTCATTAATTTCTAAATCAGCAAAAAATGAATTATCTTGTTGTTTTCCACTTTTCTTTTTCTTTTTATTTAATATTATTTTTAATTGTTGAGTATCAATTAATTGTAAAGATTCTTGTGATGTTGATGTACCAATAAGATAATCAGTATCACATGATGTCGATAATGTTTGAATTGGCATTGAACCTGTACGACCAACGATTGACATTATTCGATGAGGATAAAGGCTAAGACAACTAAAAATAAATTAATATATAATAAACAGAAATAAATAAAAAAAAATAATCGAACCGAATTTTTCCATCTTCACAACCAGTAACAATCAATGATTGATCAAGTGAAGTAAGACATTCAATTCCACCTGGATGACCAGGAAATCGATCAGACATATTACCAAATTCTTTCCAATTGAAAAAATATAAAACACCTTCCATTGTACTACATACTACTTTAGTTCCATCCTAAATCGAAATATTCTTTTTTTTTTCTACACGTAATATGATAATCAAAAAAACAAAAAAAAAATCAAATTTTGTTGTTTTTTTTACTTTAACAATCTGACAAGCTGTTAAATCACTATCCATTAATTCTGATTGTATTTGCAATTTTTTCTTTCGAACATTATAAACAGTTAATGTACCTTCACCACTAAAATATTTCAAAATTATTTTTCAGAATAAAAAAAAAACAAAGCGATGCTAAT